ATACTACTCCACTACAAAAATCCACACATTCTACTTTTTACTAAATAATAAAAAATTGAAGATTAACATTTAATAATAAAAAGCATAATCAACAAATTATTTATCAATTACTATAAAAGATGTAGACAAAACTTTATTAATGCACTGGTTCAATTCAACAGCTACCTAGCAGTATTGATCAATTCAAAATAATATTAAAAAAAATATTCGGGAATGAGTCATTCTGCAAAGTGAGTACGCATTTATTTTGGCACTCTAAATATGTTTTGATGGTAATACTTACATTTTGAATGCAGGACTTTTACTACAGAGCAATTCTATCCCATTATTTTACGACTCCACCAATGGATGTTTTTATAAACCCCCCTCCCTCCCTCTGTCACATGTTTGAGGCCGTTGTCATCTGACTGACAGGATGTTGACTAAGGCACAGTGAATCTATCTTTCAAAATTGAAAGTTACTTCTGCTTAACATTAGGTCAAACTGTAGGCTTGATTCCATACACACAGAGACAATGAAGGTACACATGCAGATAGAACAATAATTAGGCACAGGAAGTTAGGACTTTTATACTCTGAATGAACTAACTACTAAATACTCAGATCCCACTTAGTCACAGAGAGCACATGTTTAACCATGTGCTCATCACTGTCAGTTATATACTGTATTATACACGCTAATAATATGCATGTGTGTTAGGGTGGTGACACATAGCGTTCACCACCCTAACGATAATATACGTGTGGAGTTTTTAAATAGGATTTTTCTTTAAAATATTGTGAAAATTGCATTATTCTGGCTGCCGTAATGACTTCATATTTATTACCAGTTACATATATATTGACATTTGAAGATACAAAGATTATTTTGTATATTTGTTTGTACTTCGAAACTGTTTAGACGTGCCTTTTAGATTAGTGTTGATTTTATTTGTATGTTCTATTTAGGCTTATGTTTTATAGAGAATATAGATCTCACTCTGAGTTACTGTTGTTGTTTACAAATAAAAGATCATTAAGAGATCATTTTTTCATTTTTGTTATTTTATATTTGAAAGCAAACTCTGCTGAGCTATAGAACAATACAACTTTTCAGTATTATACAGTATCATATCACCAAGACTGGAATTATCATAAAAATACCCTAAAGTGTCATATTTTGTAGGTCTATATCTGCCACCCATAGTGTGTGTGTTCTCACCTGCAGGCGGGGCAGCCTCCCACCACCACCACAGACGGATGTATGATGGTGTAGGACGCGGGGTAGGGCTGCTGGGCTATGGCAGGGCCCATTTGGGCTGATGGGTATCCTGTAGTGGACAGCACGCACACATGTTAATATGGACATTCAGAGTAAATCACAACATTAACTATTACCGTAACATGTTTAAGGTGACTTTGTTATGAGTGTGTTTGGAGGAGAGTTTACGTGATTATGACCCTGACTGAGGTTATATTGATTTTTTTTCCACCTGTGTCCATCTGTTGTGATATCTCCGCAACACAATAAACACTGATACCACAACCACTTGTCGCTGTACAAATACACTGTTTTTTTTAAAATAATGATCCCTTTTCAGTGGCAGAACCAGGGTATTTAAATACATACAAAATACAAAGAACATGTGTTTCATCACACAGGAAACAAGAAAAGCAATCTTCATTTTAGGAAAGAGTTACTTCCTTGTCATTGCAGCTCTTATACAATCAGTCATATGACAGCCTTCGTCATGTAAATCAGACACGTACTGTAGCCTAAGGGCTGGGGCCACAATAGAACAACTTTTAGTGCTGCACCGTGCCAAAACTGCATAGCTTACATATCTAATCTAATGTCATATCAAAATCCTGCCTTCAAAACATCCAAACATGGTTTATCGACTGACTTTTAAAGCCGCATATTTTCATTCACCCAAAAAAAACATTTCAGACACAAATGCCAGACATCGCTATCGGGATACTGCGCATGCGCAACTTTGTAGCACCTGATAAACGAAACTTATTACTCAAACAGGGTATTTGTTTTGTTAAAGTCTTGATATCTTTGGTTTAAATGTTGACACCTTCACACAAAAACACGCACAGACTGTGAGCAAAATCAAAACAAGGTCAAAGCTTTCCTTTAAACGAAGACGGAAGTGGGCAGCAGTGAGCCCTCTCTTACCGTCCGGGGTAAATGTGGACCATGAACGTGTGCTCCGTAAACGGGGCTACTTGCCTTGTCCGGCGGGGTACTGGTAGGGCGGCGGGGCCGGTGGCGGGATAGCCCCATAGCTGCTCTGCGGAGGGGCATACTCGTAAGCCCCTGGGACGGTGTTGTAGGAGGGGGGTCTGTCCTGGAGAAGAGGTTTGCTGTCCACCATCTCAACACAACGTGATGCGACCCCAAGTTGTCTTGTTGTCTTGTAGCCTTCACTTCAACCACAGTGGAAAAGGTCAAAACTGAACTCCGGTTACTTGTCGTTAGTTGTCCGAAAAGCCGTGTGACGTTCGTTGAAACGCAGTTGCAACAAAAACAAAGAAAAAGACGCTGCGCAAAAATGAAACTTCGTCCCTCTCCATGCGCCAACTTTGTCCCCGGCGGCGCAACAACCCCAAGTATTTACCAAATGTCCACTAAATAGACAGGAATGGTCAGGTAATGGTTAACTTAACTCCATTTCCCTCTTCGAAGTTGGTCCTTTCGTACCAAAACAACAGGAATCTGTCATCGCAACGGCCCGTGTAACTCAGCTGAACTCAGGAAGGCTTTTCCTTTCTGTCTGGATTGTCACAAGAGAAGAGAATCATGTGATGAGCTGCTGTAGCGCCTCTGCGCACTCAAAGGCTTCTTAAAGCGACAGTGCATACAAATAAAAGCTCGGTGCATGCAGTGCACTGCAGAGCCAGCACACATTCCACTACCTCCACACACTGGTTTTTAACATGGTCCTACCGGTGTACACAGTCTACGCGCTATGCTATACTAGTTTTAGGTAAATGGTTCACAGATTGAGTTGAGCATACCTCGTCGTGTGTGCTGGTTAAACTTTGTTCACATTGTGACTTACATAATTGCTGTCCTCATTATACGTGGGTAACCCTTAATGTTGCATAATATTAGATTTACATGCTCAGATTTATTTAGAGAATGCTGGCAGATTTGCGGAGGATACAAGTGAGTGACTAACAGGAAATATAAAATATTATGATTTGTTGAAATTAGCAGCAGTCGAAATTCTTATCAAAATGTATGAAGGGACCACATATTTCAATATTTTAATCTAATTTTAACTATCATAATTGGATGTTAAAACAAAAATATATACTCATTATTTAATTCATTTTTTCTCTCTAATTATCATGTTTCCCACAGGGGCTCGATTTAATGTGACTTTATTAACAATGTGTTTATAGCTATGGTTTATAGCCTATCATGTTATAGTATGTTACGCTGTGGTAAGGTTAAACTCTTTAGGTAGGCTACTTACTTTACTTTACACTTTATGATTGTTCATACTTATACTCCAAAACATTTTAAACAGGGGAAATTATGTACTTTTAGTACTCTACGTGTATTTGACCGCTATAGATATATTTCAGATATTTTTAGATACACTTATAAATTACTGGTAAAAATGCATTGTCAAATGTTCAACCAGTGGTGTCTTCTTGGGCGTCATTCAGGATGTATATGACTTTCAATCAGTTTGTCGTTGAAACTTAAAATCAGTTGCTGCTTAGAGACTTGTAGTGAGGCAATAAATGCAAAAACACAATGTTCGTAATAATCCTCTTGAAGATCTTTAATTCTTGCAAGCATGGCTCCTTCTAACAATTGAGCACTAGGGAGTAACATATTTAACAGCTTTCAACAGCTTTAAAGAATTACAGCAGAGGCACTTTTAAACAGATGCATGTCGTAAAAACACAGGTACCCGCTATAAAACACTAAAACGAAACATAAACACTGAAGGGGACTTCCACAAGGGGTTGACCTCATGACCCCAGGTCAGTTTGTTCTCTTCACTAACTTTTATAAACAACGTAATCCTCAAATCACTCACTGTCACACCAGTATAAAAAGTATTGATAACAATTGAATGCAGCACTTTTACTTGTTATTGTACTTATATTGTTGTAATGGTTCTTGTTTGAGTAAATTATCTGAATACTTGTTGCACCATTGTAAATTAGGAAATGGCACGCTTGTCCAATCGGTCAGCCAGTTTTATTTTCATCCAAAGACTCTTATGATTATCACTCATCAAATGCAGTGCATTACTTTTAGGTAATAGTGTATGGCTTTAACTTTACTAAACATCAGTGTTTTCACATTTTGAATGATGTTGGTGCATAAATATAACTGCTGCATTAATGTGATGTTGTATTTTATGTGTTAGGTTGTGCTATCTGTTAAATCCTTTATATACTGTTAGATAGTTCTACTCAAATGTTTTTGTGAAACCATCATCATTTTAGTTGCATCGCTGTCCAGTTAAAACCATTTTTCTTTTAAAAGTCAAATCTCCATGAACTAAAAAAAACATTCCTGTTTTCAGCTTTGTGATGATGCATTTTCCAGCTGATATGGTAGTTTTTTAATATATTATTGATCTTAAGAAGTAGGAAAATTTTCTCAGCATCTAAATGAAAACTGCATCCTTCTGGTCATCAGAAAAGTTACATCATCCCATTTGGAAAAACATTTTTACTGGACAGGAAAGGCCTGAAAAAAGTGATCTGCGCAGAGTAACAATAGTTGTCAGACAAATGTAGTGGAGTAAAAAGTACAAAAGTTGCCTTTGAGCTGTAGTGGAGTAGAAGTATAAAGTTGCAAAACATGGTTAACTCAAGTGAAATAAAGTAAAAGTACATATTAATTGTACTTATGTACACTGTAGTAAATGTGCTTACATGCCAAACATCATTGTTATTTAAGAAAGCTGTCATTAAATAAAAGTTTCTCAGCAACATTTTCTTTATAGTGCTGGTGGTTGCTATGAAATATTCCTAACTGTAGCTAACAAGTAAACCCAACCTTGGGCTTCAATAATTCATCTGGCGCTGAATAAATTATTGAAATATGTAAATCAATCAGCAGCGACCGTCGGAAAAATAGAGCCTCGTGTTCCACCAATAGGAGTTAGAGATTCACCCCTCTGCGGAGTCTCAACCAATCAGAGAAGCACTTCCGCCATTTCCTGTTGTGGGCTCGGGAGTTGCACGGAGCATTCCTCTGGTCCAGAATGTGAATTAAATGCCCCAGCCGAAATGTGCATGGACCACTTTACTTTGCTTCTGCAAAGCTGTTGCTCATGATGGAGTTGTATATGTAAGTAATTGATATTTGTATGAAAGTGTGTGTGTGTGTGTGTTAGCTGCCTGCTGTCTTTAACCTGGAGACTCTGTAAACAGATTATAGCCGACTTTGCGGCATATGACTCCATATTGACTATCTGTGTTATTACGATGCATTGCATGCTTTATTTCTCTGTGTTTATTTAACACAAGGGTTTTGGATGTGTCCTAGCATGGGCCTCGGAGATGGCAGGTATCGGCTGTTGCACCTGATGTCATGTCGCGTGTGTTGATATTCCCTTGACAACCGCGGATCGGATACCAATATACAGGTAACGTTATGCTGCTGTGTGTGTGTTTGTCTATGTGTGTAACGGTCCACTGCAGACTAAAAGCTACATCAAGTTTATTCTACGAATCTGAAGTCTTGTAATGTGCTAAATGTACCTTTTTCTTTGCAGCCCATGTATTTCCGTGTAGTTTAATTTATAATTAAGCTGATTTAGGTTTTAATATGTAAATGCACATTGCATTTTAATAAACCAAATAAAGGCCTGTGTGATTGTATGGATAATCGAGGAATAGTGACTGTCAATACTGAAGCGGATTAGTGTCAGTCGATAAAGCAAGCGTCAAGGTAGGAAGAATAACAAGAGGCTTCCTGTTGAATTTTCAGATTAAAAGCCCACTGTCAGGTTTTAGTGCTCAATAGAAAATATAAAGATATTTCCAAACTGATGTAAAAATTCAATAAAAGTGCTTCCTGGACCCAGTTATAATTGTTTGATGGGCTCTTTGGATAAGGACAAATGTAGTAAAAAATACCAAGAAAACACTATCTTTGCAAACATTTAAAAAGCCTTTATTGTCATGGCAGACTGTTATTACAACTACAAAACCCACTCCTACAGGTTTCAGGGATTTTCTTGACTCCCTGATGAAGTCTTGATGTGAAATACCACAATTTGTAATCAAATCAATTAGGAGAGGGCAACCCTAGAGGCATGTTGTTTTTATGGTACTTTTTCAGAGTAAAGTTTAATTAAATTCTGTGACTGTGGCTCAGGGGGAAGAGCAGATTGCCCACGTATCGACGCAAGGTTGTCGGATTGATCTCAAGCTCCAAATGTCCACATGTCGAAATGTCCTTGGGCAAGACACTGAACAACAAATTGCTCTTGATAGTTTGCCAGCACCAATATGTGAGTGTGAATGGGTGAACCTGAGGCAACAGGGCTTTGGATAAAAGCGCCATATAATGCATTTTATTTACAAATTCTGTCAAATATAAAAGTGATCTAAAAGTCTATGTATGTATTTCTTAATACGTTGCAATCTACCGTAGCGGGAGTATAACTATTCAAGGATGAATCTAAATGTAAAAGGTTGTGTCCCTTCAGGATATCATAGGACTGAAGTGCGGTCATAAAATAGATAAATGCAGCTGTGAACGATGTGTGATGTTCTGCTGTCTCCCTCAGGGGCCATCATGCCCATCACCATGCTGTGGGCCGTGGATGTGTACGGCCGGGTGTACAGCCTCTCCACAGCTGGCCAGCGCTGGGAGCGAGCAGACGACATGCTGCTGGAGCTGAAGCGCGTCACCGCGGGGAAGGGCCGCTGCTGGGGCATCGGCTGCGACCACCACGTTTATCTCAACATGATGCCCAGTGAGACCTCCATCCGCTACCGGGAGGAGACCTATGAAAACCAGGTGAGGTCAAGCTGTTTGTTGACACACTTACATTGTAGACGCTGTATAGTGTTATTACTGAAGTGCTGTTTCTCTCCTTGTGTTTCAGAGGTGGAACCCTGTGGATAACTTCACTGACACGCTGCTGCCCACAGACCGCTGGCCGTGGAGCGACGTGACCGGGATGAACCCTCAGCCTCTGCACAGCTTCCAACTGCCGTCACGCAGCTGGGAGTGGGAGGGGGACTGGTACGTGGACCAGAGCTGCGGGGGGGGAGCCCAGCCAGACCGGGGTAAGAAAATGCACATACTGTAAACACACAAACAGACTTTCATTATTCTTTGCTTCTTTCTGTCTTGCTATCTTTTTTGACACTTTTTTTTGTGTTTATTTTAAATGTTTTGCACTTTTATCTGTTCAAAAGTCCTTACAAGACATCAACTCTTATATTGACATCTTGTTTGTTTATAGATGTGGTGTTTCCTTTACCTACATTTCACCTGCTTTATATGAGCTTATTTCGTGTAACCACAATATTACTTAACTATATACGAATGTATGAATTTTGATTATACTTGCATCTCTATTTGTTTGTGTAATTTGATGTTCCAACATTTTGTATGGTAAAAAAAGGTTTATTTAAATAATTTAATTTAGAAAGGATAAAAGCTTAACAAAATCATCTTTATAATTTGATTGAATTAAATATAAAATGTCTTATCCTTCTGTGTGTGTTTCTCTTCAGGGTTGGGAGTATGCAGTCGATTTCCCGGCTAACTTCTCTCCGGACAAGAAGTGGAACTCTTGTGTTCGTCGGAGGCGGTGGATCCGCTACAGGAGATACACAGCACAGGGCTCCTGGGCCAAGGTTTGGACGCTCTTAGTTTATATCTGTAAGACTCAGGAATTATGTGATAAAAAACACAATTAGTTAATCATGGCGAATTTACATTAATACAATAATCATGAAAACTGTCACGAGTGACTGTAATGTTGATTTAAGAAATGTACTTAATAAGAATTTTCTTTCACTATGGATGTTCTCTAGAAAATAAATTTGACCTATCTGTGACATGCCATACAAATAGTTTCTCAACTAAATGTATGTAGGGATTCCAGTATGTTTTGGTACCATTTCAAGAGTTTTAAGCATATTTTGATAGTTATCTCAGTAATATTACAAAGTACAATTATTTTTGCTAGGATTCTCGTGACAGTTTCACATGCGTAGTTAGATTTTGTGAACTATCTGTGTTAAAAAGGTTGAGTGCATGTACGACTGAATATTTCAAACAAAGCCACCATGTTTCTGCAGATCCCCCTGGACAACCCCAGGAAGCCCCCCCTGCCGCTCTGTGACATCAGCTGTGGTGGCTGGGAGTTAAGCGACCAGTCTGGAAGGTATCCCTACCTCTGGGGTGTTTCCCAACAAGGAGAGGTCAGTCATGTGACTCCACATTTTCTTTTTCATATAAAAGGAATAGTTTGGATGTTTTATAGTAGTTTGGCATGAGGTGCCTCTCCGTTATTTTAAATACAGTAAGGGGACTGGCATTATTTACACTCTGCTGTTTTTCACAGTAGTGTATATTTTGTGTCTTTGTACTACCATTGAAAACTTTATTCATACAGACTTATATGAGATCAAATAATGCACACATGTATCTCAGTCACACAATACAGCAGCAGGGTGATGTTAGTGCATTTCACTTGTCTTTTTGGCCACAAGAGGGCAGCATGACTTCATATAATGTACCTCTTCAAACATAAAGTTATTGAGCTATTTAACTTTACTTTCCCCTGCAGGTGTGGTTCAGGGAGGGCATCCACCCTCGGGTGCCGGAGGGCTCCAGCTGGGAGGAGATAGAAATGCCCAAGGAGGTGGCTCAGTTATCGGCGGGCCCCGGGGACCTGCTGTGGGTCGTTCTGTGGGACGGGAACCTGCTGGTCCGTACTGGCCTCAGCCTGGACTGCCCGACTGGTCCGTATTGACTGTAGTCAACTTAGCCAACCCATTCTTCTGTCATCTTTGCCCACATTTCTTTGGATTATCATATAAATTGTCAATTTCAACACCACATCCAATTTCTTCAGTATATGATTTATATTTTTAAATATTTACTGTACATAAACAAATCTAGGAAGTGGAAGAAAAGGTGTGAAATTATTGTAAACTTGTTTAAGTCTCTTAAGATGTTCCATTATGTTGTCATGTGGGAACTAAAGAACATAGGCCAGACCTACAGTAAACTTCCCTACAAAGAATATCACTCATTTACTTATTTTACATTTCTCAAGTCAAATATGGTGGTTTAAGTTTTAAAGTAATTTGAAAAAATATGCTATTAATTAGAACTTTTGCTTTAGAGGACAAAGACTTAAATAAAACAGCTTGCTTAGATAAGATTGCCTTCGTGCTGAGTCAGTGAACATCAATCTTTTTCCTCTCAGGCACATCGTGGGTGGAAGTTGAATCCCCAACGAAGGAGATGGAAGCGCTGCATGTGTCTGTTGGAGTGAGCGTGGTCTGGGTGGTCACTAAAGACTATAAGGTGAATCCGTACTCCTCCTATATGTAACACTCTTAATAGCTGTTGTTTATGTGGTGTTAAGTAACACATATCTGTGTGTTTACGTGTGCAAGGTGTGGTTCAGGCGTGGCGTGAACTCTCACAACCCCTGTGGCTCCGGCTGGATCAGCATCGGAGGGGAGATGATGGTGGTAGATGTGGGACTCAATGACCAGGTAAAAGACTTCATATAATAAGTATTTATGAAATTACAATCTGAATTTAGAGTCATAAAACAAACTGAAACTCCAAGAGACCGTCAAAACAGCATTCCCCTCTTATACATTTTGCCATTAAAAGCTTGTTCTTGTTCTTTGTTTTTGTTCTTCTTGTTCTTGTTCTTCTTGTTCTTCTATTACGAAAATCATGAAGCTTTAGCGTTTCAGTTATTCCTTCAGACCTTACGATTCACTTTCAGCTCAACTTTGGATCTGGTTTCAGGACAGATCAGGGCTGGGGTTGGTGCAGGAGAGCTTTCGTTCTGTGTCTCACTGCTGAGGACATAGCTAGCACTGCAAACCCTATTCTCACCCCTCCTCCCCTTCTGTTTCTCACCCCTCCTCTCCTTCCCCAAACACTCCTACCTCGGGCCTGTAGTCCTAGCCCGTTACCCTGTAACACGAGTACTGTCAGACGCTCCAAGCCAATGTCCCAGCAGTAGCACCTCAGGCCCAGCCTTATATATCCCAAGACTATATTCTTACTGGCGTGACATATGGAAACTCCCTAATTAGAAGCAGGCCAAGCCGTCACCATCCTATCCCATATTTCAGGGCTGCGATTATGGATATGGCTGGTGTTAGGAGGCAGGCGCCAGTGTTACAGTATATGGCCTTATAAGTAACAGCTGCCTGTGTCCTGATAGTGCCACTGATGGAGTGAATAAAACATCATTCTGTTGTATTTGCCACATTTTTCCCTTTTGAGGTACGTGGGTATACAGTATATGCCTGTTGCCTTTCATCTTTGCTGTTCTACATTGTTTTCTCTTCTTTCTGTCTGTCAGGTGTGGGCTGTAGGTGAGGACCGCGGGCTGTATTTCAGGATGGGTGTGACGCTGACTGAGCCAAGTGGGAGCGGCTGGATTCCTGTTTCGGGCCAATGGGGAAACAACAAAGAGTTTATCCCACCCAGGTCTGTATTGAAGAAAAATCTTCTTCAATCTAGAAGTGAAACTGACCTGATTACATCCCCTATTTTTTCCTTCTCTGTCCATATGTGTTAAATAGGAAGGAGTGTGAGTTTGGGGGTCAGCTGACTGATGCCTCTCGGGCCTCGGTTCTGAGCTGCACTGACTCAGACTCAGAGTTGGGTCCAGCCGAACCACCAAATAGCAGCAAAGACGCTGCCGTCCTGGAAGCAGCAGCCTCCTCTGTTGTCCCTTTAGGAAGAGCTGACACACCTACGCCCCCCCTGAAATCAGATGACACCCCCTCAGCCTCCCTACAGGATGCCCCCAAAACATTCATCCCTGCAAGTGACAGCTTCATTAACAGCCTGGTGTCAGACAGAGACAAAACCTCCACCCCACAGCAGTCCATCACAGAGGCACCGCAAGAGGAGGTGGAGGAGCCGTCCCCAGCCCTGATAGCCCTGACCCCGGGGACCGTGAGGCCTGACGTCCCCTGGATGAATGTGGATCTGGAGGGGGCCGGAGCAGCTCGATGTGCGCAGGCGGCAGGACCCTCGTTGGGGGATGGCAGTGCTGCTGCCACCTATGCCCTGGGGACCCTGGAGACCCCTCAGGGGGTTGGAGAAGCGGACGCGCCCGTGTGGACCTGGATCTCTGGGGGGGGCTGCGATGTGGACGCCAGTTCTCAGATCAGCTGGCTCAGTCCCACAGGTATAAGGACAACTACTTTTGTTTGATGATATATTGTTCCAGAATTAACTGTGAAAAACAACATTATTTACATTTTAAGACCATAAAAACAACCTTTCAAGGTAAAAAATAAGTTTTTAAGTAAATTCAGATAAATAAAAGAAAAAGAAAAAAAACATTTAAATAGATCCTTGGGGCTCAGTAAACAACATTTGCACTATATATTTTTTACCAATTTCCATTTTTTCCAAAAATACCTTTTTTAAGATTGCAAAAAATAGTACTCAAAATAATTTAAACACCTCATAGGAACTTTACTTATGTTCCAAATTTGATCACATTTAATATCAGTTCATGTCTGTATATCTGTGTTTGTATGTATGTGTGTCTTTGTGTTGTGTTTTAAACATTTGTGCATGTAAAGAGATATACTGTAGTGTACAGTATGTGTCATCTCTATGGTTGTCTGTCTGTCTGTTTAAATGTGTGAATCGTCGTTCTGTCAGGTCCACTCACCAGCTCTCTGTCACTGACTCCAGTTCAGTCAGCGGCCTGGAGCGAGCAGCAGCAGCAGGAACACCGAGAGGAGATCAGCAGGAAGCCGCTGGAGAGAAGCCACGTAAGACCGCTTGTGTCTTAAACTTCTCTTAAACCCCTCGTTGTCTTGGTTTATCACACCTTGCCTTACATCCTCCTGTTTCCTTTGCCAGTCGGTGTGGGTGCGTAAAGGTGCGCTGCGCTGGATGAGGGACTGGAAGCCTCAGCGCTGGGTGGATGTGAGTGTTGCTCTGGAGCAGTCCACCAAGTCTGACGGCAGGAAGGACAGCATCTTCTTTGTCTACTACACACAGTATGACGAGAAGAAGGTTGGTTCTGCTGTTAAAGAAACATTTCCTCCCCAAAATGACCACTTATATCTTTAAATATCCTGTGTCAACTTGAATTGTTCAAGGTGTAGAAGTTGTTAGGAAATAGAGACAAACAACCTCTATCTTTGACTGACACTGTCCAACTGTTACTGTTTAAGTGTGATTGCTGGTGTTTAACCACAGACAAGGGTGAATTATGTCCATTGGGTTTTTTATGAATGAGTCTGCTACAAAGAATTAAGAACAGTCTTGATGAAGTGAAATAATGGAGGACTGCGTTTGACAACTGCAAAACAGTATAGTTACACCTGTTTGTCACACACTTGCAGTAATTCTGCTTAATGAAGTCGTAACCTGATTTATTCACAAACACATGCATTCACACCATAACAAATTCTTCACGCATTCTTCAAGTAATAGTCCCTTAAATGCTCCCTTCACAGCTTCTTTTTATACAAATGTTCTTGTATCTGTGTTACAGTACCTGCATGTGTGTATAAATGAAGTGACGGCGCTGGTTCCAGTGCTCAGGGACTGCCACCATGCCTTTGCTGTGTACACCACCCAAAGGACCAAACAGAGGGGGCCTCTGGTGCTGGCAGCACAAACTGAGAAGGACATGAATGACTGGGTAACAATCACATACATTACAAACTTTCTCTCTTACCTGTAATGCTATTTATCAATCTAGATTGTTTTGCTGTAAGATACCAAGGGACGTAAATATTGGTAGTGGAGATGTCTGCTTTGCTCTCAAATATAAAGGAACTTGGCACTCGGCCTGTGGTACTCAAAGCGCCAAAATAAGACCTTTTTAAAAACTGGACAGAAATGTCTCTTTCATGTCGGAACATTTAGGTTTTTACCAAACTACACCCACCATGAAGGAAGCGTGATTTTTCTCGACTATCTTGAATCGTGAAAAACCAATTACTGTTGAGTTTCTCAAAATAAAAAATGTTTGCCGCTATGATCACCAGAGTTGGGTTGTAACGGAATACATGTAACGGCGTTACGTAATCAGAATACAAAAATCAAGTAACTGTATTCAGCTCGCGTTACATTTGAAAAACGAGTAATCTGATTACAGTTACTTTCGTAAACCATGAAGTGAATACATTTTGGATTACTTATTGGAATTATTGGTGGAAAGATTTCCTCACAACATTTAATATTCATTACTAAAGGTACAGCCGAATCATCACAGCGCACAAAACCCATTACCGCCGCAGATGGACCAAAAAAGGGAGCGTTTGAAAAAAAATCGTGGGTCCGCTCGCTCAGTGAAACAATAACAACGAAACATGGAGGAACAAAAGTCTGCGTTTAAATTGCGCGTGTGTGTGTGTGTGTGTGTGTGTGTGTGTGTGTGTGTGTGTGTGTGTGTGTGTGTGTGTGTGTGTGTGTGTGTGTGTGTGTGTGTGTGTGTGTGTGTGTGTGTGTGTGTGTGTGTGTGTGTGTGTGGTGTGTGTGTGTGTGTGTGTGTGTGTGTGTGTGTGTGTGTGTGTGTGTGTGTGTGTGTGTGTGTGTGTGTGTGTGTGTGTGTGTGTGTGTGTGTGTGTGTGTGGTTAAAACACATCAGCCTGCGGTCGCTCTTTAGCCTTTCTAATGACTCTGAAGGTAAACACAGTGAAGGCGGTGCGTGAAAGGCACTGCACACTCCTCTTCTCAGAGGCTGAGTTAACCCTCCCGCTGCCTCCTGGTGCTGCAGAGATTTCATGAAGTGAAGGAGGTTTTCCTTCTATAAAACAGCTGCGGGCAGCAGATAGGCTACTGTGAGTGTCACGGACATGAATTCATAGATCAAGGCAGACTGGTGCACACACTCTCCTGTTTTGCCGATCCGGTGCTTAAACAAATATAGCTCCACACCCCTGGCCGAAATGTCCTTAAAATGAAGTCCGAGTTCGACATTTTAATTCATGTCCTGCCAACATTGGCACTCCTCACATCCCAAGCTGCATCCCCAAAAAGTGTATTATGTTGTTACATCGTTTCAGATGTTATGTTTCAGTTGTGCTCTTGATAAGCCATTAAAACAGTAAATACACGTTCAGTTTCCTTTTGCTTTTTGTGTCTCCTGTTCACCAAAACATACCCATCTGTGATGGAAAAACAAAGTAATCCAAAAGTAATCTAAAAGTCATCTGAATACTGTATTCGGATTACTTTCAGAGCCATGTATTCAGTAATCAGTAACTGATTACATTTACAAAGTAACCCTCCCAACCCTGATGATCACCCAGGCAAAGTGAAATATTTTTCAATTACGAGAGAAGGCTTCCCTGCTGCCAGTATCTTCAACATTTGGCAACTCCCAACAAAACAGTCTAGATGGATAAAGATGTGTAGCCCATTGCTGATCTCATTTCCCTGTTTGTGGCTCTGTCCTCTGGTTTCAGTTGAGCCTGTTGTCTGACTGTTGCTGTGAGGGTCGAGGGATCGCCGGCCCCCCCTCCAGACAGGCGCTGTGGTCCACCACCTCAAAGGGAGACATCATGGTCCACGAGCCGTCCTTCTCCCTGGAGGCTGCTGCGCACACACTGGCCTGTGACCTCATGTGAGACTCAGACTAAATACTAAACTCTGTCTGCCTGCTTTTGTAGTGTTCATTCTCTTCTCTTGGTTTCCATCACTTATTCTGTGTCTACGTGATCTTGACCGCTTAGTCTTGAAAGTTTGGAAAAATGCTTGATTTGAACCAAAATATTTTCACGGTTAAGAATATGCCTAAAGTTGAGTAGAGATTGAAAAATCTGCTTGATATAAAACAAAATCTGTTGATTTATCTCCAGTACAACATTTAAAATCACCAATTTTTTAAAATATGAATTGAAATAATACTGTCGTCATATTTGTTGATGTCTCCTGGCATCAAAAATAAAATAATAAGCAGCTGGTAAAATAAACAATGTGGAAATATACATTGGTTGCTATGGGTATAAAGGGATTCTGTACACTTAATTTTTCGCAGTTGCATTTAATATTTGATGATAAGGCTTCAAGAGTCTGTATATTCCTGATCTCTGAGCTTTGATATAGCTTCTTTTTTTTTTAAAGCTGTATGAACCGTGTCTTAATTCTGCTGCATGTCCGTTAATGTCGCTAACATGCTAACATACTGCTCTGCATTATGAAAATGGATATTAAATGTTCTGCTAATGTGTCAAATCTATGTCATGCTGTGAGTGGCAGCACTGTGTGCTAACAACAATGTGGCTAACGCTGGGTGCTAATGCTGGCTGCTCCGCTGTGTGCTGCTGCAGGTTCTGGCGCCAGGTCCCGGGTCACCTGCGCTGTGTAGAGTCTAACAGTCTGGGGCTGGTGTGGGGCGTTGGGTGGGACGGCACCGCCTGGGTCTACAGTGGTCGCTATGGGCAACCGACCGCCCCTGGTAAACTGTCCCATATGATTCCCACAAATTGTGCAATTATTCAGTTATCATCTCCTTTTAATATATATATGTACAAACCAGTGATGGCGGGTCCCTTAAAACATTTTTTTTTATTAGAGGCTTTTTCTCAGTTAAGTATTTATTGCTGCTGTTTGAATGATTAACCAATATGTTGATCAAAATGTATCTGTGACCATTTTAATCATTGTTTACTTGATAGATTTGATTGATATGCTAGTGCTTGTTCTGTAATGCATAATTGGTGCAATAATCTCTAATGAAAATGATAATTAACCCATCTTTTTGTCACATTTCTAATGATTTATTTGCTTTACTACCATTTGTATTTAATTAATCTTTTTTCTAACAGCTTGTAGTTTTGTGTGCAATTGCTTAAGCATCTGCTGTAGCTGTAGAGATCTATTTGCCCACACTAGTGTAACTATTTATCTGCTAGCATTACATTAGTGTCTATGTTTGTGTTGACAGCAGGAGATGAGGTTCAGATGCTCCAGCAGACTGATTTCAGGAGTGTCCATGTGTATGAGAATCAAAGATGGAACCCTATGACTGGATATACAGACAAGTAGGAACATTTCATCTTCTGCAGTTTGAGTCAAGTCTTTGCTCTCTTTGACTGCTCCTTAAACATTAACTTCTTGCTTCTTGGCTCCAGAGGACTTCCTACAGACCGTGCGATGTGGAGTGATGAGAGCGGACTGAATGAGTGCACCAAAGGAAACACAAACCCTCCCACCCCTCAGTGGTCCTGGGTAGGTGGTATAGAAAATCCCTCCTGTGCACAAATTCAATTTCTTGTTTAATCTCCAGCTGATCTCCATCAAAACTGTGTCTCAGGTGTCAGAGTGGACTGTGGATTACAACGTTCCTGGAGGGACAGACAAAGAGGGCTGGCAGTACGCTGCAGACTTCCCTGTGTACGTTACTGTTATTTCTCAGGATATAAAAACAAAAAAGAGAATAAAGTTGCTATTTTTCTGACTGCTCTCCCTCTTACAGGACGTTTCATGGCCACAAAACCATGAAAGACTTTGTGAGGCGCAGAAGATGGACGAGGTAATCAAACTCTCATATCACATATTTCGGATGTTTGTAAATCTGACATTTAAAACCATAATATTCTGTATACAGGAAGTGTAAGATCACGTTGAGAGGTCCATGGCAGCAGGTCCCGCCCATCCGTCTGAGTGACATCTCTCTGATGCCGTGCCTGGCGCAGAGCAGCATGGAGCAGGTCCCTCTGTGGGCCCTCAGCGATAAGGGGGATGTGCTGTGTCGCCTGGGAGTCAGACCCCAAAACCCTGAGGTGAGAAACGAGATGGAAAAAATATTTCTGACTGACAGTCAGACTTAACCCAGAGAGGTTTAAAGTGAGTACATCATGATGAAAACAGGATTCCTTGTGTGTCCATTTCCTTAAATTTGCACCATTTGCACATTCTTCAGCACAGAACATGGTTTTTTTTATTTCAAATCTGACATGTTGAACATATTTGAGATTACTTTTTTGCAATGATTTTCTTCCATTCTATGTTTATGTTTCCTGATTTTCTTCTCGTTTTCTACTCGTATGTTTATGTTAAGCACCAATACACCAGAGTAGATTCCTTGTATGTGAAAACTAACTTGGCAATGTACCAGATTTCGATTTTGATTCATCTCTTCTCTGCAAACATCGCTAAACACAAGTCTCCCCTCTAACTGCGGTGTGTTTGGTCTCACAGGGCAGCTCCTGGCTTCATGTCGGCACAGATCAGCCCTTCAAGTCCATCTCCATCGGCGGGGCCAACCAGGTGTGGGCCATCGCTAAGGACGGAGCTGTGTTCTACAGAGGCTCCGTGTCCCCTCAAAACCCTGCAGGTCAGCTGACAAAAAGTCTAAATGCTCCGAGGGAAATTGTTTATGCATAAAAAACATCTTCTCCTATATCCAGTATTAAAAGCCTGTGAATGTTCTAGTTTTTAGTACATGCAACAGACATTAAACATCAAGTGCTCTCCCCCCTCTGCAGGAGAGTGCTGGTACCACATCCCGTCCCCCCCCAGGCAGACCCTCAGACAGCTGTCTGTTGGGAGGACCTCCGTCTTTGCTGTGGATGAAAACAGTGAGTAGTGGAAAACACAATTTTTATACCTACTTAAAACCAAAGAGCCTTACATTTCAGTCAACCAATCTCTATGTATGTATGTATAGGTAACCTGTGGATCAGACAGGGCCTCACCCCCAGCTACCCCCAGGGCTCTGCCTGGGAGCTCATCTCCAACAACGTCAGCAAGGTTACCGTGGGGCCGCTGGACCAGGTCAGTGTCTACAGCCTCCTGTCAAATACAGTGGATTTTACTATGTGTACTCTGTATGTATACTGGATTTACCAAAGCCACTAAATCATCCATCAGAAAGCTTTAGGGCAGTATTGATGGGGATGCTTGGTTTGCCAACAGAAGTGAGTTTTATCAGCATGTGGGAGATATGACAGTGAGATCCCGGGGTAAACTATATATATAGATATATAAACCGTGATTGGCTAGTGTTGGCTCAGTGCTGTGGTTCTCTCCAGGTGTGGATCATTGCAGATGGAGTTCCAGGTTTCACTTCTGAACCCCCCGGAGCGGTCTGCCACAGGCTGGGGGTCGGTCCCATGCAGCCCAAGGGCCAGGCCTGGGACTTTGGTATAGGGGTGAGTCCACCATCATGAAGTAAACACTGTCTATATCATATTTTATTGATAATAATAATAACAAAGCAAGATAATTACGTTTTATTTTTGTCCTGGGGAATCTCCCCAAAAATACACAAATTAGCAATTGCATAACTGCTGCTGCAGTTGTGTGAAGTTACCTTAATTAAAGTACTTGGATTATGACAGCATTTTCACTACTTGACAACTAAAATAATGGCAAAATTAATTTTGTTTTCATAATGAGGTGATCCAAAGTTACCAAGTAAAGTTTCCAAAGAATATTTTATTAATTTACTTTTTTTTATTGAACAGGGTTTTAAAATATTCCAGTATATTGCGGCCTCCTTAGCGCCCTCTAGTGCTCACATAAGTTAATGGCAAGTCATTTATTTCCCTCTGTGTCTTCCAGGGAGGATGGGAGCACATCAGTGTGAGGGGGAACTCAGTGGAGGCTCCTCGTGCCCCTCATGTTCCGGCTGTGGGACCCCCGCGCAGCCCGCTCCCCCCGCTGCCCCCGACACAAGTCAACGGGAGTGCTGTGGGTGTGTAGCATCCTCCTCTTCTTCCTCCTCTTCCTCCTACCCGGCCCTGTCTGTGCCTGGATCCACATTCTTCTTCTTGGACCATTCCTACCCTTCATGTCGAGGGGATGCACAATCTGGGTTTAGACTGTTTACTTTGGTTGGATTTGACCCCTGATCAATGGATGAATGTTACTCCCTGGATCGTTTCCTTGGTAGGAATCATGTCAGTGTGCGGTGAAGACAAAACAGAAAAGGGATCTTGAAATATTGTGGGATGAAAATGTAAAAGGCAGCGCATGTGTGTGCTTTAGGCTATGTTCATTGGGTGTTTAGGGATCTAGCAATAGCTTTTATTCTTGTATACTAAATCCTGTGATAACCTGAGAGGGCGGGACTTTGATAAAGGGTTAGGGTTCGGTTACTAAACTAACTTCAAACACACAATCCCACTGTAGCCTAAACTGTCTCGGTTTATAGAAGTTTGTTTGTTTTTGCCGGTCGTACATTTGCATGTGATTTTATTTATTATTTTATTTATTTATTGCACTTTTGTTGATTTTTGATTGTCCATATATTTTGGTCTATTATGTTTGCAATGGAGTGTATTGTTTCGCCCTTATTGCTACAACAAGGCAAAATGTGAGATCTTCCCACTTCTACAATGTTCTATACTTACAAGCGACTCCAGAGGTATATATAAATAATCATTCTACATTACCAAACATCTCTATCTTCCTGCAATAAGTACAGTTCTTCCTGTCAGTATTATATCCACACATACTCCTGCTATGACATGACATGACGGTGACTGTTGAACTTCCACAGTAGGTCTAAATATCACCATGACTCGACATTCATCTTACAAGGGCATTGAAATGTGAAATAAAAATCTAAAAAATGTCTTTATGTTTGGGGGTCATTGCAGTCGGTCTGGAAAACAAGTTGATTGCAGTTCTTATTTTGATAAATGGATCGAGAGGATTAAAGTTATAGAACAGATTTAGAATTAAACAAAATTCTCCAGCTAGGTTTAAATCAAGGACATGAGGTGGACATGGTATTCCTTTTAACCACTACTAACCAAACAATACTTAATTAGCCTGTTAAGCCCCAAAGCCCCCCTCGGCGGGGGCTTTTTTTCTTTTCTTTTCACGACACTGTCTCAGGGCATCTTAATATTTAAGAACCTATTAATGTGTTATACCAGATTAACGGGAATAATCTCAGCTAACTGACGATACAAACCATTTTTACCAAAACAAAACACAAGTCTCATAAGAAGCATCTAAATGACCCCTGAGCGAAAAATGCTAATGCTATAGGCACAGAACTCAAGATAAAAGTACCCGTATTACTTATCGTAGCTGCACATACAATATATCCGATTAAAACTGAGGTTCCACAGATTATTTAGGTATATAGTATCATCACTGAGTGATCCGAACTGGCGACAGGGAATGCAAACACAGACATCACAACAGTACCTTTACGTAGCTTTTACGGAAGATCCTCTCACCGTAGCTGTCAATCTGATCAAAAGACTTGTTCAATGGCATTAAAACGAGAAAAAACGCGACTGAATCGGTTAATCCATAGGTTGATAATGTTTCTGTGTAATATTTTTTTTAAATTTATAATCCATAATTCCATTTTTATGTAAAAATCGGAGAGTAAAAGTTAGCTGCTAATGGTAGCCACCAGAGTTATCGCAGCTTCCGGTTTTGGCTATGCATCAGTCTCACACACACATGACCAAATAAGGAGTATGTGGGAGTTCCCCTCGATTCCATTGGCTCTGACGGTTAGAAAGAGATGTCAATCAGCAAAATCGAGCAAGGGGGGCCAAAGATAGGTCAAATCCACCCAAATGACCCCAGATGCAAAATCTCTCTAAAAAGGTCAGATTTCACTTGTGTTGCATCAATCTTGATACAGGGTACTTATTATAAGTTGTAGTTTGGATTCCTAAAGCTTTTAGTCTACTATCCCATCATTCAAGGGTGGTTTTCACTATAAGTATTTTTGTTGTTGTTGGATGGACACAATAATTTACATTTTTTTACTGTGTTCAATCTGAATTTACTTTAAAATAAAAACATCTATATTGATTCTGACACTTCTACATCCAACTCACAGGTTTATCATTACTTTGAGAAAAAAGATTATTAATGTAACCCTTTTAGAAGGGAAGATATGGTCATTTGTTCTGGGAATGTCATTTTCGAGCCTGAGACCTGAAAAACAGGCTCGGGGCTTAAAGGCATTTTCCTGACATTAGGAAAACATATATTTGTTACTTCCCTCCACTAAAGACAAAATGATGACTGTCAGTAGCTGAAGAAGAAGTTATATTACTAATATCACAATGTTGAAATAAAGTAAAGTGCATTCATCACTTTACCTGAGTATAGTACACAAGTATGCATTTCAGAACAATATTACTGAATTTTTATGATTCACTCACTTGAATTTTGCAGCAGGTAAAAATGGGGTTAATTTATCATGCCAAATGCACTTTTTGATGTATTTTATACATAAATGTGTGTCCCCGGGCCGGTGTGCCGGGGAACTCACGCAGCATCAGAAAATAAAACCCCTTTCAATTTTCCTCCGTACCCAAATCTTTTAAAAACGGGGGTACAACGAGCGGACACAGATTTGCTGCTGATATGACGTCAAATCGGCGGCGGTCCCACAGAAAGTTGCTATCAGAAACAATGTCTGACGTGTTTTGGAATCTCGTCTTTGTTTACATTAGCAAGTATCGCTAACACTCAGAACTAACCTGTACTGGAGTGCACATGTGTTTAAAAAGCATGGAATAATCCTTGATGTGGTTTAGAACAGGATGGCGTTTTATGACAGCAGAATTTAACTTTATCTCCGGTAGAATTCTGATCAGGCATTAGCTCCGCCTCCTCTTTTCTTTTTTTAAGTTAAGGACCCAAAATCCGCGTTTCTCTAGAAGGGCTGCAAAAGAGGGGTATGAGCAGTATGAGGCATGGCTACAATGGGTGATCTGTTTGGTATTTTAAGCAAAAAACTTCACAGACATGTTTTGTATAGGTATGGCCCTACAATATATTTTTCCAATATAGCATAATAGGTCCACTTTAAATTACTCTATACACTGCTGGGTAGCTTGACCCATTATAATATATCATTTATTAGTTAATGTATTTTATGTTGTAGGTATAATTTAAATATGCAAAGTGGCTAAAGCTATCCATTAAAAGAAGAGAAATACATTGGAATAAAAAGTAGCATAACATGTGAATACTCTTGTACGTAAAAGGTGCTTTTTTTAAGTGCAGTACTTAAAATAAACATACTTAGTTACATTTTACCTTTGAGTATTTAAAGATGTGCACAGGTTCGAATTTAACAGCTGATTTTAATGATGACTTTGTTGTGGTTTTATGTTATTATAACCGTCCATCCTTTGACAGGAGCCCTCACACAAAGACTTAGAGAAATATATCAAATAATATACGAACCCTTATAAGTTCATTTGCATTTATTTTCATATTAAACAGTGTAATTATAAACATTTCATTCAATTACACTAAGCATGATAAATATGAAGTAAAAATATTTTTTTAAATCTACAAGTGTAAAGGACAGAATGAGTTCACGTCTCCTTTTGTGTCTTAATTTAACTGCTTTTAGCCGACGACTGATATGTTCCTCTGATCAACTCAACTTACAAAATTAAACCTCATACCTACAACTCAGTTACATAATTTCCCATTTACAGACAAAAAGGATTTACATTTACATACATCAGTACAGTTCAACATTAAGTTACATTTCTCAAATGTGCAAGATTAAGCAAATGTATACTGTAGTCAAATAAAACAAGATTTCCTTAAATAAATTTTCAAGTTGAACTGAAGCACAGGCTGCTGGTTTTTAACAGAGGTTGACATTACCTAAGATACAGTGCCTTCTGTATGGGGTGGGGGGGGGGGGACATCTTCTACTACAGGTGAAGTACAGCTGTTCATCAGGTCATCTGTGACGAAATCTTTAGGGTGTTTGAAGAACCACACAGTAACTGTATAACCTACAGTTTCAAAGAACTGCATTTTTATAGCTGTACACGGAAACCTTGGAAGGAAAGTAGATCTGGATCCACAACATTTTTGCATTTTGCTTCTTTACAGAAATACGAAACACAAACATCCGGTCAGCGCTGTGCAGCCGGAGACGACGTATGGCCTGCAAATGATAAATGCAATGACAAAATGCTCAAAAGTTCACCTGGACGAGGGGTCCTTAAGGAGGAAGATTATATCTGAACATGTTCATTAAGTTTGACACGTAGTAAAAAAAAAAAAGAAAAAGGCAGAAAACTCTGTTCATGACACTGATAAAAGGAGCAGTGTTTTGTTCTAGTAGTGAGTTTATGTGAAGCTTAAAGTCCCTGCACAGTACTGAAGAAACGCCAACACGTTCATCGGGCCATCCTATGAACTCAAATTTCAACAATTTAACGAAATTCATTGCACATTTGTTTACAAACAACTCATTTACATATCTTCATTCTGACATTTAAAAATAAAATCTCCCACTTTTTACACAATCTCAGTCGAGGTGTGATTTGAACATTTGTAGTGTTATTTAAATGGAGGAGTGCAGCTGTCTGTACAGCATCACAGGCACCGCGATAAGACCCAGTGACAAGTATTCAAAACCATCCGAGCTGCTTCCTGCACATTTCAGAGCATTAAACGAAGCATTACAAAATGTATAACTTGTCTGGGATCACATCTGTAAGGATAAATATGACAATCCTTATATACCACCAAGAACTCTTACTGAGATATCTCAAAAATATGAAACTTCTTGCTGTAAATGTTCCTTTCAAACACAGATATAGGAACATACAGTGTGTCCCCTCTGCAGAAGAGAGAATTTTAATTAAGGTAAATTCAAAGCTGCTACAGAAGGATACCACACAGTTTCTCTCCAATTCGGAGATTGTGACTTATAACACCCAACGAGAGGTTACGAAAAAACAAAACACTCTTCCAAAAAGAGGCAACCACTGAAATAATCGCACAACATGAAGGAGAAAATATAACAATGTAAGAGAAAAAAAAGCTTGGATCTTCAGTTTTGGGTCTGCTGAAATCAAAATAGCTTATTCCTATTTGGCTGTAGTGATACGTTTGCAGCCCAGTGTGTTGAATTCAGAGCATAACGTTGATTTTTTTTTTTGGTGATGCAAAAGTTCTGGACAATGAGTGCACTTTCGACACACAACGAAATGAAGCAGCCAAACACCTGGAATGTGCTCGATGAGTCCTTAAAGCAAACATTTAGAAACATTTTTTTTTCTGGAATTGCACTGAACTGAAATCACACACACTGATGTAGCTGGAGGGGTGATGTGGCTCAGACTGGAGCTGGGACGTGTGTGTTATATGCCGAGTCATTGTTCTCATGGCCGTCTCCATGTATGTAAAGAGCAATTCGGGCTGAGAGAAGCATCCGCGGTTTGACCCACAAACCGCGTCATTTGTCCTTATTCAGCCGTTTCCAAAAAAGTGCGAGTAGAGGTTCATTTTTTCATTAGTGTGATAATTTCACACTAGTCCTTTTCTCCATCTTCACTGCTTCCTAGAGTGAACAGAGGAAGAAGAGGTAAGTTTAACCATTTGATAAATATTATTCAAAGAAATCACTACTTATTATTATAAGCCCAATGAGCATGATGCATGAACAGTTTCCTGTAGTGAGTGAAGATAAATATTTGGATAGTGGCAATGTTATATACATTTATATAAATAGAAAAATAAAATATTGTGCACCAAGAAATGCACGAGATGAGATTAAGCGTAGTTTGACATTTTGTGAAACATGGTTTTTTGAGTGATGGCTAAGAGAGAATAGATCAATGTCACTCGTCTGTATGGTAAATGATGCTCAAGCCAGCTGATTAGCTTAGCTCTTTGTAAATAAAACATTGTTCCACAGCAGTTCTATTAGTTCTCTTATTAAAACGTTATATCAACCCGTTCTGGTTTTATAGGGGGAGAATGCGGGACTCTTTGCCAGGTCTATTAATATCCCGAAAAGAAGAAAACAATTATGCTAAGCTAACATTATGCTAGCCATACAGAAATAGTGGTGTCAGGGTTTTTATCCAACCCCTGGCAAGAAAGCAAACAAATCCAAAATGGGAACTATTCCTTTTAACCCCTTCAGGTTTGGAGCGACTGCACGCTCAACTTGCCTCCTTGCTCGATGTCGGAGTCGGTGAGATGTGTGAGGGAGAAGCTGGCGATGCTGGCCGGAGAGATGGAGAAGCGGGAGTAGTTTGAGGAGCCGGCCCAGCTGCTCTCCAGCCCCCGCCCTGCTGCAGGGGGGGGGGAGGTGAAGCGAGAGGCCGCAGAGGAGGACATATTCTTTGACATGGGGTTGTTATCTGTCTTGGGCGGGAAGGCAGGTGCGAGGGAGAAGTCATCATCCCACTCAAACCCACCACCTGCAGGGGTTTATAATCAGTCAGGGCATGTGATGACAGAGAAAATGTTCAGTACATTTGACAGGCTTCAAACTTTACCTTCTTCATCTGTGGAGCTTTCAGAGTTGGCGAACCGGTTCAGGTAGCTGGCTGAGGGCAGTGGGCTGCTGAACTCTGGAGCCTGATTGTGTGAGGAGTGGTCACCCAGTTCCTTGGTGGGGGTCTCCTACATCAGAAAGAGTTGCATTTAATTAGAAATGCTACACAAAAGTGAAATAACTAAATAGTTGGGGTGAATCTTAAATTATCACACAAAATCGATTCTCAGGTATTTTACAAAATCCAACAAAGCTTCACACATCTTTGACTTGGGTTGTAATATTGGTGTCTGTTAGTAGCAATGGGTAGGTCCTTTTGTAAAGAAACATTTAAATTAAAATAAGAATACCGTTTGTTCTTTAAAAAAAAAGAAGCCTCTTCCATCAACATCATCATGCCCCCCTCCCTAACCTTTATAAAGACAGAACTTGTTTTATATATATCCTGCTTACTTTTGAAGTAAACGGTTATTTATTTTTGAGTGTTCTTGTATTTTAATGTGTTATTTTATACCTCGGGACTGTGGGAAACAGTCTTTCGATCTTTCTGTGTGTACAAACATATTTTAAGATCGTCAATAAAGTTGACTTTGACTTTTGAACTTCACCTGGTCAAACAGGTAGACCGTGACATCATCGAAGAACGACACCGCTCTCCTGGAGTTTTCTTCACTCTGGGAAGATGACGCCCCGATGTTCAGCGAGGTGGGTTTCAACAAGCTCTTCAGGTTCTTTGCTCTGCTGTCGTCTGAGACAATAACGGGCACCGTGTGCACCGTCTCATCCTCGCTCTCTGAACTGGAGGTGTGCAGCTGGTATCCACGGACATCATCGTCAGAGTCCTCGCTGTTCTCGTCCTCCTCGTCCGCTTCCCCCCCGTCCTCCTGTCCGTCTGAACCGTCCCGCCTCCCCAGGAAACGCCCCTCCATGTCCGGCTCTTTTATTTTATGACTATCACTGGCGTAGGTCCGTGTGAGTTTAGCGTGACCCGAGGTCTCCTGCACCGGTTTTGAGGGGGGGACGGGAGGAAGTGGAGAGGAAGCTTCTAGATCATCTGATGGTTGATCAAGAGATGTGCCGTCTTTGAACAAGTCCTGTTTGTTTTCATCTTCATTCTGACTGTTGGTTTCCCCCTTACATTTCTCTGTGATTTCTGAATCTGGTAATATGCCATGAAGAGTGGGTGTTTCTCCATTGGCCTGTGCTTGGGAAGTTTCTCTCTGAGAAAATAAAGAATTGACATCTTGCTCCACGCCGATCTCGAGTGCTGGACCTCCATGAACCCCGCTGGCCTCCTCAGTAGAGTTCCTCAGCCACGTGGCCTGTCTAGAACCTCCTGCTGCCGCCTCTTCAGACTTCTTCTCAGGTTCTGATTCATTGTCTGAGAAGTAGGCCGAGTCTCTGTAATTACTGGCCATAACTGGCTCCACAGCAGGTGCTACCTCATCTTGTTGCTCGCCCTCGATAGGATCCTCCCTGTGAGGCTCCAGCACAGCCTCTACTTCAGAGATGATGATTTCCGGTGGAACCAGAGCTCCTGCTGCCGCGAGTTCCTCGTTCTCCTCCTCTTCTTTGGCAACACTCATGCCATTTTTAACGGGGGATTGGTCCATGACATTAGGCTGAGAGTTCCACTCAGGAGACTCAAGGTTCTCTGTCTCATACCCACTGTCTGATATTTTGTACGGTGGCTGGAGTTTGTGTTGGGCTGTTTGAGCACTTAGCTCTTCTCCTTGTTCCCCGAGCCTGTGGATGTCAAGAGAGTCTAAAGAGTCTGGTGTCTCGGCTGAATCATCCACAGTTGGTAAGGTGGTGGACATGCTGTCTTCCAGTAAACTGTCCTGGCTGATCTGGTCCAGAGACGGCCCAGAGACCAACAGAGAAGATCTGTCCGTAGGGCGCCCATTAGTATCCATAAAGGATTCTTCATGGTCAGACAGAGTGGTTTCCAGCTCGATGTCCTCAATGAGTTCACTCAACAGATCGTTACTCGTGAGGTCTTCATTGTGTCCAATGTCCGATGCTTGGACTTGCATGTCATCAGGCATTTGATTTACTACGGAATGAACATTATCCTCTGAGGTTCCTAGGTCGTCTTCAAGGCTGGGGATTTTGGCATCTGTGCACAATGAGTCTGTAGTGGCACTTTCAGAAAATGCGAGGGTGTGGTCATCAGTTGGACTGACGATACCCTCAAACATCTCGGAGGTAGAATCAAAACCAGAGTCTATACCTCTGACTGAGGATTGCAGTGGACCGAGGGTTTCTGTGGAAGAACAATTACTAACTGGCAGCTGGTTGCTTGTGTTGTCTTCTGTGACCACGGTAATGAAAGGCACCAGTTTCTCATTTACCACCAGCGAGGGACATGACTCCCCCAAGCTGGTTTTCGAAGAGTCTAAAGATTCCTGTCTGGAGGATGTGCTACTTGCTGCAGGTTGTAAGTAAGTGTCTGCTGGGATTAAGCTGCCCAAATTCTCCATATTGTCCCAAGATCTCATCTTGAATCTTTCTTCTGGTTCGTGGGTGTGGCCAGGAAAGAGAAAATGATCCTGTGGACTTAACCTGTCCTTCATCAGGTGCTGGTCTTTGAGAAACATAAAGTTATCAGCTAGTTTTTCCATGTTCAGAAGTCTGTTCACACCTGTGCTCTTCCTCTCCTCTTCTACAGAATCTGTGGGGTGAAGGGCTTCTGAAGAATCCCCTAAAAAATAATCCCCGTAGCTTTTATCTGTATCCACCTCCTGGACTACTAAAGGTGCAACATCACGGAAAGGGTTGCCATTGCGCTCTGGAAGCTCCATAAAACCCTGTCTCCAGGAGGGAGAGTCTTCCTGCTTGGACCCCCCGTCTGTGAAAATGTTGGTGTGGTATGGACTGTCATTTTCAAGAGACGACCAGATGTGGCTGTCTGGCAAATACGAGTCCTTGGAGTCTATACTTTGGTGGAAAAAGTCTGCATCTGTACTAGACTCATCCAGGCGGACATCTTGGAGGACAACAAAGTCTTGACGCCCTGAGCTGAAGTCCATGTCTTGTCCTCTATTCCCATCCTCCTCAACAGTGCTCTCCCCTTGTTCTTCTAGTTGTATGTAATATTCATTTCCATTAGATGGCTTCTGTGCATCGAACACTGGTACGATGCCAGGAATCCCTGAAGGAGTGTCCCCACTTTCTATGGCCGCTGCTCTGGCTCCATGGTCGGGGAAGTGGGCCTGGATGTCTTCAGTGGAAACAGGGAAGAACATGCTGTGATAGTTGAGTGTCGTGTCCAAGCCTGAGCGCCCATGGTTGCCCTCATAGTGGTCGTGCTTGGCTGCCTCCCAAACGTACTCAAAGCTGAGACCTTTGCTTGTTTCAGTAACGGTAAGAACTTCGTCGATCTCTTGTCGCAGGGCGTCGTCAGCAAACTGATCCAAGATTGGATAAGAGGAGTGGCTGATGGTGTTCTGTCGCGCGATAGGGTTGGGTTTGAGAGCATCCCAGCGTTGATCAAAGTCTTCTTCTATGTCCTTCTGGCCTTGCATGCGCAGGTAGATGAGCAGACGGTGCACTTCCTCCGCAGTGGCCCGTTTGTCTGGAGACAGCCAGCAGAACTGCAGGACCTCGTGCCTGAAGTTACAGGAAAAACACATTAGACACATTTAAAAAAAAAGGTAAATAACCTGATTTAAGAAGATATAACTTTACTTTTTGTCTGTTTTTTGTTGAAATGGATCTTAACCAAAGACATACCATCTGTCAGAATAAGGAAGATCCAGCTGTGGCTTGAAGGGTTTGACTTGTTGCTCCTTGATCACATGATGGAGAACCTCCCGGTCAGAAAGATGTGGGTACGGCTGAACCGCATTCTCAAATAGCTCCCACAATGTGACCCCCAAGGCCCTATGGACAAATCACATCAACACAGTTGTTAAAACCCATAACACATAATGGGGTGAGCTTTTATGGCTACCCAAACCTACAATAACAATAACATAAATACAAATATTATTCCTAAAGCAGCATTAATAAAAGCAAGTTGGGGAACATTTTGAATCTCAACATCTTGATATTGAGGGGGAAAGTCTGGCTCTTGACTAAAGCAACCTTACGTAATTCTGCCATTTACGACTTGAGAGCATTTGGGCAATGAGTTGTAAAGTCAGCGAGAGGCTGAAAAGATGCTTAGTTGGTGCAGTGTCAGTGTCTTTTTCCCATCTTTTGGAAACTTTCCAGATTGTTTAGGATTTACAAGTTCTGTCTGCAAATACAAGAGCTTGATTTCTCAGCAATAAGCCAGAGGTGTACTGCAGAGTAATTCATTATGCTCGTCTTATTCCAAAAACACCCTTCACATGTCTAGTATTACAATATATTTATAAAGTCCCTCAGGAGAAACGGGGGAGGAAAGGTTTTAAATATATTTGGATAAGATTCAGGGTCTCTCAGACACTATGAGTTACGTTTGTTTTTTGTAAATGTCCTGTCGTGTCAGTGAGGTACCTACCACACATTGCTGGGCTTGGTCTGCTCCATAGTAATCACCCCCCCATGGCGCTCGCCCACCAACTCAGGAGCCAACCAGCGGAGAGGTGCAAACACATCATCCTCTGTGATGATGTAATCCTCCTGTTGTGAAAAACAATCAGTCACGTTATCAGCTATGTTTATGAAGCAGATAATCATGCACACACCAACCCATTAAAGAACACACATTGACTGTTCTCCTAGCTCTCATTGAGGCAGATCACTCACGTCGCCTCTCCCTTTCTTTACAGAAATAGACTCACTGGGTGACCTTATCCTGTGCGTATTAAATTCAGACAGCCAAAGTGACGGATCGGCGGTATTTAAGGAATGCAGCAGACAGAAGTGTCTTGTGGGATATGCAGCGTGTCTAGTTACAGGAGGAGACCATTTGAATGCTTCCCTGAAACATGCTATTGATCAATGGCAAACACCTGCACAGCATATATTTGATTATCTGTGAGGTCATCTGGAGCTGGTTGCACAACAAACAGCGACACTTCAGAAATGCAACTTGAGATCATAGCCTGACATCAGTTGCACAAAGTGGAGCAGTTCTGAACCGTCCTAAGAGAGAATAAGTTGTTGAATTTGGTCAATTAAAGCCCTTTGAAAACATGAAAACATGGCTTCAAGTTACTTATCTCTCATTGATCTGCCCTGTACAAGAATAGAACAGTTGCAAGGGCATTTAACAGGCCACTTTGACAGGAACAACTATATAATGCACTGCAGTATCTTTATGTTTTTATGACCAGTAATGATCAAACATTTACTCATCTAATTTTGGTTTGTTCTTCTCAATATTAAAACACCATCTATGTTCTAGATTAGAGTCTGGAGCTCAATGTGGATTGGATAACATGTATTATATAAGCCTCATTCAGTTGTACAAACATGCTTGAAGGTCATAAATAAGGAAAAGCAAACAGAAACGTTTGAGCTGCCTGATTCGTCAAGGTGATATCACAGATGTTTTATTTAAGTATGCAATTGGATCTTTGCCTACAATGTGTCAGAAATCGAATATGAACAGCTGTTTTTTAAATACACGCGTTTTCACTCAGATTTAGCCCAGGAAAGTTGGTTAGCGTCATGTCCATTGAGGAGTTAAACTAATGTTCTTGGTGAATAAACCAGTGTGTTTTTCTTTTAATGTTTATTTTATTAGCTTTTCTTTTTAATGACTGATTTTAAATGCCATTTTCTTAATCTCTTTCATTTTTTGTAAAGCACTTTGAATTGCCTTGTGTTGGAAAGTGCTATATAAATAAACTTGCCTTGCCTTGTAGTGTACACTAGCCAGCCCCTGGTGTTATGCAGCAGCTCCTCACAGTATATGACATATATATTGCTTACTTTGTATCTGTAGGGTCCGATTCCATAGTCTCCCACTTTGACTGTAAGATCTCCGGTCAGGTAGCAGTTCCTCAGAGCCAAATCACTGCGGGAGCAAAGAGAATATAAGCATGAACACATCTGGACGGATTTCATACTTCACAAATTCACAACTGCAAAATCCTTCTGATGATGAAGCTCGCAGACTAGACATGTTCAGGTATATAAATGTATAGCTCTCAGCAAAAAACAAAACACTGACCATTATTGCATCTCGATAAACTTTATAGTGAACGTATGAATAAGTGAAATAGTCAATAAGGGCTAATGATTCTGGAAACGGTCTGAACCCCTTGAGAAAAGACGTGGTAAAAATAGAAATAGCTATTGACAGATTGTGTGGAATAAAATACATCATCAGGCTACATTTCCTTTAAAATAATTCACTACATGTTTGCAACAGGGTGGGGAAACTCATGAAAGTATACAATATTTAAGATCATTGCATATATAATATATAAGACTGGTAGAATGTGCTGGAGGCCGCCACATGTTTTGCTTTTGACGTCCCCTGACTCCATATCCTTGTACAAAGCCCTGAAGCCCTAAGACAACCTCATAAGGCGAAGGAGTCTGGCAAGGATCACAAATGACTTTGGCAAGTGTATAAAATTCTTCTTGTGTCATTTGCGTCTAGTCTTCACCTTGCAACAACACTCAAACGGGGGCTATTCCTGACCCGTGCATACAGCAGCGGGATACAGTTTCTAGAGGGAAACACAGGATGGCGTTGTGGAGCTGGAGGAGGTTATTTTGTTTTTTTTGGTAAATGATTGAGTGTTCTTGCATTTTAATGTGTGAGTTTTTTTACACCTCGGGACTGTGGGAAACAGTATTTCGATCTTTCTGTGTGTACAAACATATCTTGAGATTGACAGTAAAGTTGACTTTGACTTTGATATGGTGGTTAATTCCAACTGAATGAAAAGGCAGGGGCACTGTGTACAAGTTTAGATAATGACAAACACTGCTGACACCAGGAGTCAGGGGCCCAGCGAGTGTCAGGCCAACTGAAACCCCTGTAAGATAAATGGAGATTTATTTTAAACTCTTCGCCTCCCTGTCCCTCTTTTGGCTGAGGCCTGACTTACACTAATACAGCAGGAAGGAAACAGGTCCAACATCTTAACCTCATAAATTGAAATGTGCCATGGCATGGATCCCTAATATACCATCAAACAAAAGGTTTTAGCTCATTTCAACAAGCAGTGACTTGTTTGAACTGTAATCAATAGGGGGAAATGACAAATACATATATTTTTTAAATAGTTATAAATGCATTTGATATTTAGTCTTTAAAACATAGGAAGCTGAGCGTTTCTCCTCACACCATTGATAGGACATTTACACTCAGGAATAATGCAGATCAAGACTTTTACAACCCTTTGGATCCTTACAAACATGTCCCGTCTGTTTTGTATGTATTTATGCTATGTTTTTATACAGTTGTTGATGTACAGCACTTTGTTCAACTCTGTTGTTTTTAAATGTGCTATAGAAATCAAATGGATTGGATTGGATGGCTGCTACAGATTCACAATCTACACTGTAAACGTGGCAGTGCTTAAAAAGTTCCGTAAAGCAATGGCTGAACGATGCCTTTGGAAACTCCCCTTCCCGTGAGTTTGAAAAAGCATATATTCAGATGTTTCGGAGCCCTGTTCTCACCTCTACATTGCAGAGCCGAGGTTTCAGCTTTGGGTATCAGCCCCCACAGCCCCGAGGGTTTTGTGTCTGCACCATCAATCAGCTATCATCCAGTTTAGCCAGCATGGAGCAGCACTTATCATTCAAAGGGCTTCTTTTTTTCCTTTTACATTTTTGAATAAAAGTGCCACTGAAATATTTTTACGATTGCAAATCAAATCTGTCCACATGGAAGGGAAGCTTGTAAACCCCCCCCTCAGGTTGTAACAAGGATTAAAACACAACGCCCAATATGAGGCTATCCTTTTACATGCAAAGAGCAGAATCATCATATCCTTCTGGCTGCGGACAGCTGACACTGTGGCAATGCATGGGAGCTGTGTAATTGGAACCCTCCGAGCTTATTCTGAGCATGCAGAATAGAGCTGATGAGCGGAGCGTCGTAAGTTACACCCCCCCCCCCCACGTTCTGTACCCTGCTGGCTGCGAGAGGCCAGACATCCAGTACGCGCTGGGGTAAAAATGAAAATGAAATGCAGCCCTTCTGCTGTACACACCTTTTTTGGAGAACACAGTTCCTCCTGAGACTTGGGCAGTAAGCAGTAACTACGTCATAAGTAAAACCAACAGTTGGCTTAAGTTTCTAAAGTCCTATTTTATGAGGTTTGTGTCAAGTGACATAACACAGACAGTAATTACTATTAATCACTTACCACACATTTGAGTGTTATTCCGTCAATACATGTATGTATCAATGTGGAATTGTTTAATTTGAAATATATCACATTTCAGATGTTTTTTTCAACCCTTAAAACGCCTAATTACAAAAAATCGCACTTGACACGAGCAGTCTACTAAATGACACAACAAAAAAAGTATTAAAATAATGATGTTTTCATTAAGTAATACCCATTTAGTTGTGAAAGATTCTGAATTATTAAAGGAAACTGGGGCAGAAAAACACAAAATGTTGGCTCAGTGATAAATATATAACATCTGTGGGTAGAGGAAGTCATCTAGATATTGAAAGTGTTTCTGTCACAGAGAGAGTGAGTATTACTTTAAACATCAGCTCACGTCCTTGACAGACAAACAGAATGCTTATCTTAGTGGCTCTTAAACATGTGTGCTAGCTAAAGTGTTGCAATTGTGAAGTGCTACCTGTGCAGGAAGTTGTTTTTGTGAAGGTGAGTGACACCGGCAGCGATTTCGCAGGCCATCCTCTGCAGCTGCAGCAACTCAGCGTTCCTGAACATCCAATCCTGCTGAGACAGGAAGCCCCGCAAATCCCCCTGCAAACACGCAAACACAGCTAAATTAGCACAACAAAATCCAACATAAACAATCAATAAATCCAGAAGAATCAGAGGAAAGGGGCTAGATAAATGCAGTGTGCAGAAGCCTCCACACGGGGGCAGTAGACCCTCCTGCTCCTGTCTCCTCAGCACTTCTCACTGCGGATGTGAGAGAGCACCAAATAAGGCTAACGCTGTTTAGTGAACAGCGATGCTCTGTCACAGAGATTTATAAATAAAAGAGTTCAGTTCAGGTCAGTGAAATAAACTGTGCTTGTGTCCGGTCAGGTTTCGGAGCGCATGAGTGGAGAAAACAACAAGGTGTCCCCTGAGGGAAGCAGGTCAAGGTACTTCGACTTCATTAATTACCCCACATGAAAAACATAACGACACACATCGTTTGAGATCATGTCAAAATGATCACAGTGAGAATCTGAGAATGTTATTCTGGAACAAAGACCAAGATTTAGATGTCGTGCCACAAAAAGGCAGAACAAAGTGTGTTCAGCCTTGAAAAAATGAAGATGTCCCAACTGTTTTATATCATCTTAAACAGTACAATACATGAAATACACAGTCATCAATTTGAGAAACTGTTTCGGACATGTTTTACTATTAATCGAATATGCCAAATGATCGATCGAGAAAGAAATCTGCAGATAAGTAGATAAACATTGTTATCTACAGCTCTTTTGGGATCACAGGCTCAAAGATCTGTCTGTGGTTGGACTGAGTCCTGAGGGGCTGTACATCTGAATTACATCAAGCCGTGTGCAGGATCACAGAGCTGGTGGGAAACTGTAGTTATCATTCCCCAACATGTGTAATGGTCGGGACACATTTGTTGTATACGGTAGGGCTGCTCGATTATGGCAAAAATCATAATCTCGATTATTTGGGTCAATAATTGTAATTGTGATTATTAAATGCGATTATTCATTGACTTTGAAAACATCCATTTATTGGAGAAAAACAATTTGAACAGTATGTTTTTAACAGTTGATTACCCTGAACTTTAAGTATAATTCAACTGAAAACACAAAAAAAAAAATCTTTTTATTTCGATTACGTTGTTTTCATAATCATTGCAAGCCATAATCTTAATCACGATTAAAATATGATTAATTGAGCAGCCCTAGTATACGGGCAGAGGACATTTAAAAGATAGTGTCTTTAACTGTAAAGCAAAGGGTCCTTTAAGTTTTGCGTTCTTTTGAGATCATGTGCTGGAGTGAAGGAGACTTGTGATTAGCCGGAGAACCGAGCTTCCCTGAGGAATAAGCTACGAGGAACATAATGTACACACATGAGATTCCCCACTGTATATGAGGTGAGGAGGCTTTTGTTCAATCACATGCAGTTACTGAGCGTTTGCGTGTGTTTACAAAGGCTTTCATTTTCCCTGGGCTATCTCACTTCAAGCAGCTTATATCAGTCGTCTTACGTAAGCAGCATAGTTTGCGTCGACCACATTTACCCCCACACGAAAACAACTCTGAGAAGCCGTCTTCACAGAAGGGCTATATGCAATGTATGGTAAGCGATAGCCGCTGCCCGTCTTTTTCGGTGAAGCCTCCGCAGCAGGTGATTAGGTCTGGGTTTCAGAGGCAGGGTTTAATGCCGTTATAAAAAACAACATTAACATTGAAAGGCAAAAACAATTAGGCCTTGTGTCTGACTCTTAAATAAAGAAGTATGTACTAAGTTCCTAATGCACAGATTCATTTCTGGCTCAGCCATCTCGTGATCGAGTTATGTAAAAGAAAAAAAATCAAGCGGATTAAATCCTCTAAGCCCCTCGTGGATACTTGAAGTTGGCTATATTCAGATTACTGTTAATTTTTGTAAGATAAAAAACTATTTGTCCATTGAGTAAAGGCTAATGTGAAATCTAAACTAAAGTAATGTGATATGGTTACAATGGTTTTAATATGCACCAAGGCAAAGAGAGTCTTTGTTAAACTAAGTTATATAAAAGGATGAGTTGCAATCAATAGAGCCTAATAGCCTATGGAAGTAAAGAAAGGACACCGACCACATATAGGCAACATTACCCACGAGCTCAATGATAATGCTAAATACGCCTATAGGCAGCGCATGGTCAGTAATGCACAACTTAATAAATGCCATGACAGATCGCTTCCATAACACTGTGAGAATTGTTGCTTTAATGACGGTAATAAATGGAGGAGATCAACAACTTTGGAAAGCCATAAGTCAGCTGGCTTATGTCCGAGACCCTGAACCAGAGAGGGGTCTGACTAACGTCATGTCCGGGCACCAGGCAGGAGATCCATGCATTAGAAGCTGTCACTCAGACTGTCGTATGTGGCATTCTGGGCTCCTGCACCAGTTGCTTGATGTATTTTGATGTCGAAAATGCTTTGAGTCAGGGTTACCCGGCACGGGTGATATGGGACAGAAAAAACGGCATCAATCACCGGGCTGTCCGAGGGAACGACACAGTATATTGGCTTTTTGGGATTCATTTTGTCCAGTGCGCAGCTGCGGTGTCACATTTCAACTTTTGGCATCCCGAGGATGATTGACATTGACTGAAGTAGTAGGAGGACACGGACGAATCGACTTTGGCTTGACATTTAAGATCAAAGCGGGTTTTAACGCTTTTTTAGCAGTTAAGTATTCTATGGGAGTTTGTATGGGTAAGTATGGAACATGTAAGGTATTTATTTTAAAAAAGATAACATGTTTTGTGTAAGACAATCCTACTTGGATCCAGTCCTCAAAGCTCTTTATCCAACAAGGGATAACGGGCATTGACATCATCAGTCAGTTGTGCTTCCCTCACAAATTATCACCTTCAACAAACAGGACCAGGACTTCCCACGCCATCTTCCATAATGACTCGCAGTCACTTGTGATAAGTCACTCACCTTGACTAATTTCCATCTCTTGTCGGAGACGTCACTAAAGCTGGCTGGGAAAGACCACAATGCCAGGACCGGGCAGCTGGACAATACCCCGGCCCCTCGAAGTTATGTAATGTCCGGCACGATGAGCCAAAACATTACCATGTGGGACAAATGGGAGGCAGGGTGGGGGCGGAGCATTGGTGCCAACTAAACATCATAAATCTGTTTCATTTTGTTCAGCATGCATACTGAAGAAGTCAATCAAAATCCAAGGAGTGTCAATTATTTGTTTACGCGCTGCACATTTACAGAAACGCAACTAATGCATAGAATGAACATTTGAGTCCACGAGCAGGATGTGATGTTTCGCTCTAAAACTGTGAAGGCTCAGGTTGTACAGACTCATTAACTGTTACCAAAAAAAGGACATCCTGTATCCTGTCATCGAGGAGTCAGTGGGTGGACAAGTCCACCCAGACACACCTGGGTCTCATACACTCACACAAATACAAACACACTGCAGCACCCACACCAAAGATGATTTATGACTGGCAGGGTGGGACAAGGGTCATCTAATTCGACAGGACCCTCACAGAGAGATGTAAAGTTAAGATTGTAAGCGGAGTGAGTGATTGTTATCACATAAGTGTTTAATCCCAGTCCGTGCTTTGCCCACTTGGGGGCAGCGGAAACAAGTTGTTAACAGTTGCTTTATAAACATGCAGCCGTTATGAGCAACGTTCAGAGGGGTGTTTCTGGACACCTGCCAAATGCATTTCCAATATTCACCCTTTATTAGCTCAGTTTTGGTCTCTACCAACTCCTGAGGGAATTCTAAGAGAATGAAACAGTTAAGTTGATCATCTGAACTGCACCATTAGAGCTCTGTAAAGCCGTGGGGATGCATTCATATTAACCTTTGTTTATTAACATCTTAGCAGAAGTCTGAGCTCTTCAAGTACACTCTCTGTAGGACCATCAAAACCAGCGACATTGTTTATCATTGTCATTTCATATAATGTAATTAGGATAAATATATGTATAAGAACTATGAAAATAATGACCAGTTGCAACTAAAGATACTTACAATTACAAGAAAATACAATAAAACAAAAGCTAATTAAGTTGACTGATAAACTAAAGCAGTTAAATCGGACCCTTGAAAGCAGCATGCATGGACTATTAACGTAAATGTTGACATCCTAAGGCAGGTTTTGAGGCTCTCTCGTTGGTGGAGATCATCACATGTTGAGATGTTTCGAATATTATTGCTCCTACTCCATAAGATAAAGAAGTTATATTGTGCAAAAAGCTACTATACTTGTCATCGTAAAAGTTTGTCTTGTTGAGATAAATCAAACAGACAGCAAGGGGGTGCATATTTTTAGGTTTACGTTTTTGGCTTCTTGCATTGGTCACTGGGCACCACACGGGTTTCTTTACGAACAGCTTAGTTGACTTTAGTCCGAACTCAACGGTCTCCAACGGTCTCAAGACGCTACCCATAAAAATGCACAAACACAGCAACTGGTGTAGTCGACACCAGAGGAGCGTAAATCGAGCCTGTGGCTTTACTGGGTGAGGTGGGAATGTGAGAGGTCCCAGGCTTACACGAGCCATGCAACTTTAGGCAAAAGAAGGTAGGGAGGTAGGAGTGGGAGGGGTGGGATCTTCCTGCATGCACACCCAGAATAGGTGAAGGGAAGCAGTGGATAAATCAGCTGCCATGGCAGGACTCTCTTCAATATGTTGTGATGAACAGAGCGGCTAATTTAAGATTGAGATAGTAGGCTTTCAATCCGGATGGTCACTAGGGCAGGTCAGATATGCATGCTTGCGGAACAGTTTTTAAAGGGGTCTTGCCCTGGGAATTAGTGAGCTTAACAGACTGACACGAGATCTTTCTCAAATGTCTCAATTAACGAAGCTTTTGGGCGGTAGATTAAGCAAGCCGTGTCAATACTTGGACACTGGTACAGGACTGCATGTTAAATTAAGGAAGAATTATTAGCCAATATTAGGCAGTACGTTTCAAAATTGCAGATCTACAGTAGAATGTAAAAAAAAAGGGGGTTGTGTCGTTTATGCAAATACACGGCAATACATTCAGCGCCTTTCGGTCACTCACCATTTCACAGTACTCAAACACAAGCAGGAAGGGGATGGCCTCGACACACTGTCCCAGGCATTGGAGGATGTTCGGGTGCTGCAGCACTCTGTAGAGACACAATAACACAAAGCATGTTACTACTGATGTTAATTAGGGCTTCACTAGCTTCGCAGTAACACCTTCAAATAATATCTGTAAGATTTGAAAGGAGATTCTGTCTGATGCAATGTCTACGAGGGAAGTTAGAGGGTGCTGCTCACATTACAGTGATACAGTCATAGAGCTATTTCTGTCCACATTCACGTATGCATTTCTTGCTGAAAATGCATACTCAGATTAGTAAAGGTGTTATTAAAGAAAATATATAAACTACAATGTATAATATTGTAACTATAGATCACCTGATAAGTACAACGTGAAACCAATTAAAAGTGTTTAGTCGAAATGAATGTGTGTACCTGTATGGATCCCCCTGCTGCAGGAAATCATTCTGCTCCTTGCCACTTGCATTAGCTTTTAACTCCTTCACCACCACTCTGGCTCCACCGGGATCCGTGTAGATTTCACTCAGAAGGACCTGTTATTAATACATGACGACACTTTAGGCTAATACAAAAATACAGAAACAAATATCCATGTAGCTTTAATGCCTGTACACGAATACAAAGAATAACGAGTCTTACCTGGCCAAACCAGCCATTGCCGATCTCTTGGATGTAACTCAGACTGTGACGAGCCACCTGGACGTCCCCTGATCCCTCTGTTAAAACAACAGAACCATGTTAATTAAGATTCAGTCATTCATCTATACAGCATGTCAGAGTATGTATTATAATGACAATAACAGCAAAAAAAAACAATAATCCATACTTTTTCTAAATGTTTAGCATTAAAGGGTCTGTATATTTCAGGACACCAAAGAGACAAAGACAGGAAAAATGCATCATCGATGTGTCATTTTGACGTTTGTAGCTATGACTTTAGTTTTTTGTGAGTGTGCATGTGTCTGACCTGTGATGCTGACAGGAGGTTGGAGGTGGGGGGGCCCAGGCAGGGCCACGGGGGACACAGCGAGGGTGTACACCTCAGCTGGGGACTGCATAGAAGGAGTGTCCTCTGCCGGGGGAGTGAAGTCGATCTCATCCTCAAAGTGGTCCTCAAACTCCTACATCAAGAGAAAACAAGAGTGTGTAAAATCACGTTTGTCATTCAACTATAACTTCCCACTACAACCCCCCCCCCCCCCCCCCAGGTCCATGTTTTCATTAGGTGTGGCTACCTGCCCGCCAGGACCCTCACCTTGAAGTTGATCTCCCTCTCCTTGCAGCAGGTCACGCAGTTCACTAGCAGCACCACCAAGGCCACGAGCGCCGTCAGGGACACCACCAGGGACAGGTAGAGGGACACAGACCACGTGTCCCCTGTGCTTCCACCTGAAAGGAAAAAAACATATCATTATTACAATTGTTCAAATTCATAGCTGTGATCAGAAATAACTTTAGAAGAGAATAAAACGTTGGCACCTGAAATGTTTGTTACATGCACAATAGGGGTTTGTGCTCTCTTGATTGTACTGCTCTCTTTAAAAAGGTCCCTATTATAATGTTTTTCATAAATATATTACAGGTCTCAGATATATACAAAACATGTCTCTGAAGTGTTTGGCTCCAAACACCAAACAGATCATTGCAGCATCCCATAATCCCCTCTGTTTCAGCCCCGTTTCAAAAGTGCTGATTCTCTGTCTGTTACTTTAGATGAAAATAAGGAGCCCCTCCCCACGCCCTTCTGAGAGAGATTTGGTTACAAAGAACACAATGGAGCTCTAGGAGGAGATTCAGGTGATAAGGTGGGGGGGGATACCTTGGTTGCTGATTGGCTAATGGTTACACAAGACAAAAAATCGTTATGACATCATAAAGTGGCTAAAATCTGATCATTTTCAGACAGGTTTTTATAGAAATGGATCAGGACAAAAAGAGAGAGAATATTTGTTCCTGAAACTTTCAGAATGTCTTTACACAGAGGAGACACATGTTGATGTAGAAAATACATGAACAAGTGTATTTTGCACAATAGGGTGATCTTAAGGTTTACAATTCTGCTAACAGGACATGGCAGTTGTCACCACCCGACCTCTACTCCTCTTCAGCCATTCACAGAGACAGTTGTGGGGGGTTTCCACTGGCTAATAAGCAGCTGATGGTGCAGCAGTGGTGGCAGCAGGTGTTAGATCCGCGCAGGGGAGGATGCTGCTGGCCCAGCAGTTCGAGTGTCAGGGCTGACAGCAGCCTTGTGACCCCCCCCCCCCCCCCCCCCCCCCAACTGTGCTGCTCAGCTGCTCTCTCCACACTGATGCTGACCAACATCCACACGGCTCAGTCTTTCCATCGCAGTGGCTGAGATTTCCAATTTGGTACAACTAAAATATTGTTGTGTTTGTTTCACATTCAAACATTTATAAAAGCACCTGTTATGTATTTGTGTGATAAATATAGATATTGTGCTATAACATTTCATTTATTCGACTCTGTATAATTGTTATTGTACCTTAAACGGCTAAATCGCTTTTGAGAGATTTTAAATCTCAGATCTGCTCAGGCGAAACCTGCTTCACAGGTCTCAGCACTCAAGCCTGCATTATTAATATAGGCAGGGCCAGTCTATTGATTGCGTGAAGTAGAACCGCGTGACTCAGTCATCTTTTAGCTCAAAAAGCATTTAAATACCGCATTTAAAAACTGATGAACTCAGTGTGCATCTGGACCCGGTGACGACATTACCTATTGACGCAGCAACCACTGTAAGTTATATTCTTGTTTAATTAGACTTCTCGGTTTCATTTATTCGACTCTGTATAATTGTTATTGTACCTTAAACGGCTAAATCGCTTTTGAGAGATTTTAAATCTCAGATCTGCTCAGGCGAAACCTGCTTTACAGGTCTCAGCACTCAAGCCTGCATTATTAATATAGGCAAGGCCAGTCTATTGTCGCCCATCAGCTGTAGATAGTTAACTAATTAGAGGGGCGTGCCCCTACAGCTGTGAGAACTGAGCAATCAGGCGTCCATTTTTAGGTATCACTTTCCTGGAGCGTCAGCTTCAGCGTCAGACAGCCGAAGACTGACAAAGACATTGGAGTCCTACAGGAGTAAGACTGACAAAGACATTGGAGTCCTACAGGAGTCACGAGGGAGGCAAAGAGGAGGCAAATCCTACTTTGATTGAGCTAAGTATCGCTGGTGTTTTTATTTTCTATTTTGTTTCTTTTTATTTTGTTGTTTAGCTCCTCATGCTATAATCATGTGTATTTTCTCCATTCCTGTTCATTTGTCTCGCAATTATCACTGGCCCCGTGTATCTCGTAATCGATATAACCGGCCTGCTCTCGTCTATCCCACGTGCTCCACTGAGATCCAACATCTAGTTTCAGGTGGCCTGTGGAATTGCCAGTCAGCTGTTCCTAAGGCTGACTTCATCTCTGGCTACGCCTCCCTGCAGTCTCTGGATTTCCTTGCTCTCACTGAGACCTGGATTACTCCATCCAACACATCCACCCCAGCAGCTCTCTCCACTGCATATTCCTTCTCCCATACACCCAGACCCACTGGCAGAGGAGGTGGCACTGGTCTCCTGCTCTCTCCCAAATGGAGCTTTTCCCTCTTCAAGCTACCTAACTTCACTCCTTCCACCTTTGAGTTCCATGCCGTCACAGTAACCCATCCTATACAGTTAACCATTGTTGTTCTCTACCGTCCACCAGGCGCCTTGGGGGACTTCTTGGAGGAATTAGATAATCTCCTCTCACTCATCCCTGAAACTGGTCCTCCCGCTGTACTTCTCGGAGACTTCAACCTCCAGACGGGGAAGATAGACGAACTAACATCTCTGTTAACCGCCTTTGCTTTCTCACTGTCTCCGTCCCCACCAACTCATAAAGCTGGCAATGTCCTTGATCTCATATTCTCAAGGAACTGCGCTACTTCTAACCTCTCTGTAAACCCGCTCCACACATCCGATCACTTCTTCATTTCATTCTCTCTATCCCTTTCCAAACATAACAAACTAATCTCTTCCCATCCTACACTTGTACGCCGTAACCTTCGCTCCCTCTCCCCCTCTACCTTTGCCTCGTCGGTGCTCTCAGCCCTCCCTTCCTCTGACTCGTTCCAACTCCTGCCTCCAAACTCTGCTGCAGAAACTCTCCTCTCTACTCTCTCATCCACTCTGGACTCGCTCTGTCCTCTCACATCTCGGCAGGCTCGTCTGTCCCCTCCTGCTCCCTGGCTAAATGATGCACTGCGTGCTAATAGAACCGTCCTTAGGGCAGCAGAGCGGAAATGGTAGAAATCCAAACACCGTGACGACCTCCTAACCTATCAAGCTCTCCTCTCCTCTTTCTCTGCTTCGATCTCTCAGGCAAAAAGCACTTTCTTTCAAGATAAGATCCAATCTTCCTATTCCAATCCTAAAAAACTATTTTCCATCTTCTCCACCCTCTTGGACCCTCCAAAAGCCCCTCCCCCCTCCTCACTTCTGTCAAGCGACTTTGTTACCCACTTTGAAAAAAAGGTTGATGATATTCGCTCTTCTTTTTCTGACTCACCTTTACTCACCGCTGGGTCACCAGACCCTCCTTCCACCAACACACTTACCTCCTTTTCCCCTCTCTCTCCAAGTGAGGTTCTTACCCTCATTACCTCTGCCCGCCCCTACCACCTGTCCTCTGGACCCTATCCCTTCAAACCTCCTTCAGACTATCGCTCCTGATATTCTACCGTTTCTCACCCATTTCATCAACACTTCTCTAACTTCTGGTCACTTTCCAAACAGTCTCAAGGAGGCAAGAGTAAACCCTCTCCTAAAGAAACCCACTCTCAACCCGTCTGATGTTATAAACTACAGGCCTGTCTCTCTCCTCCCGTTCCTGTCTAAATCACTTGAACGCGCTGTCTTTAAACAACTCTCCTGTTATCTCAATCAGAACAACCTTCTGGATCCGCACCAGTCTGGTTTCAAGGCAGGTCACTCCACAGAAACTGCTCTCATTGCTGTCACGGAGGAACTGCACACTGCATCCCTCTCCTCTGTCATCATCCTATTGGACCTGTCTGCTGCATTCGACACGGTGAATCATCAGATCCTCCTTCGCACTCTCCAAAAACTTGGAGTTTCAGGCTCTGCACTTTCCCTCCTCACCTCATACCTGAAAGACCGTACCTACAGGGTGACTTGGAGAGGGTCTGAGTCCGACCCTTGTCAATTAACTACGGGGGTCCCTCAGGGCTCTGTTCTTGGTCCCCTCCTCTTCTCCCTGTACACAAACTCGCTCGGATCAGTCATTAGCCCGCATGGTTTTTCTTACCACTGCAACGCTGACGACACCCAATTAATTCTGTCCTTTCCCCGCTCAGAGACCCAGGTCGTCGCACGCATCTCTGCTTGTCTAGCTGACATCTCTCAGTGGATGTCTGCTCACCACCTCAAGCTCAACCTTGACAAGACTGAGCTGCTCTTCCTCCCGGGAAAAGATTGTCCCACTCTTGACCTAACAATCAACATCGGCACCTCAGTTGTTTCCCCGACTCAGACTGCAAGGAATCTGGGTGTGACCCTAGATAACAACCTGTCCTTCACTGCAAACATCGCTGCTACAACCCGTTGCTGCAGATACACGCTTTACAACATCAGGAAGATACGTCCCCAGCTGACTCAGAAAGCGACTCAGGTTCTGGTCCAGGCTCTCGTCATCTCACGCCTAGACTACTGCAACTCCCTCCTGGCTGGTCTACCTGCATGTGCCATCCGACCTCTGCAGCTCATCCAGAATGCAGCGGCTCGTCTGGTCTTCAACCTTCCTAAATTCTCCCACACCACTCCGCTCCTCCGCTCCCTTCACTGGCTTCCGGTAACTGCTAGAATCCACTTCAAGACACTGGTACTTGCTTACCATGCTGCGAATGGATCTGGCCCTTCCTACATCCAGGACATGGTTAAACCGTACACCCCAGCGCGTGCACTACGCTCTGCATCAGCCAAACGACTCGTTGCGCCCTCACTGCGAGGGGGACCCAAGATCCCATCGGCGAAAACACGTGGGTTTGCTGTCCTGGCTCCAAGATGGTGGAATGAGCTCCCCATTGACATCAGGACGGCAGATAGCTTGCACATCTTCCGGCGCAAACTGAAAACTCATCTCTTTCGACTCCACTTCGAGCGTTAGAACTATTAACGAAGCACTTTTATACTAATAAAGGACTGGCTTACCTAAAGCCAGTTGAGTAGCACTTGAAATGTTTGGCTCTATGAAACCTGATGTACTTATATGATTCTGTTTTCTTCAAGGTTGTGTCTTCCTGGTCGAATGTACTTATTGTAAGTCGCTTTGGATAAAAGCGTCAGCTAAATGCAATGTAATGTAATAACAGGAAA